GGAGATCTTGCGCCCCCGGGCCAGCCTGCGGGCTCCCCAGGAGCAGACAGGAACGCAGGGACAGCGGGGTCGCCCCTCACTGAGGGGGGGGTGGGGCGGGAGGCGCGGCTGCTCTTGCCTTACTGAAGAAGGAGGAGTCGAACGTATCGGCGGCGTCCACGGTGTCCTCCTCCAGCCAGCTGGGGCGCGCGAAACTGCGGCGGGGGACACTGCAGCGGGGCTGGGCGCTGGGGAGAACCGGGCGGCCCTGTGGGGAGACACACATGCACGATTCTACACAGCGCCTCTCGCATCCGGGCATCTCGTGTCAGAAGGCCGCGGAAAAAAAAAAAGTCAGTCTTCCTCCAAAACAGGACGGTGCATTCTACTATATTTGCTACTTTTTAATTTTCTTCAGTAACACGAAGCTGGATTGAGCACACTGCCATCTAATGAGGGCTTTGAAAAACCTAGGCCTAGGACACGCAGGGCCCTGCATCACTCTGGGAGCGATGATGATGATGATGATGATGATGAGATCTTCTCATAAAAAGGCCAAGTGAAATCGACACCTGGGACCCTGGCCTTCAGCACCACACGTGGCACAGTACAGTACTGCTATTTATATGCCTGCTATTGACCGTCTGTCAAACCCAGGAGGTGAGCGGCACCGTGTCTCCGGGAGAGATCATTCTCATGTGGCAAGGCGCTGCCAGTACGTCAATCCCAGCATCGCTATTGCTTCAGCAGCCGTTCAATGAGCATTTAGAACGAGAGCTGGTGACGGAAACCAGAAAACAAAACCCTTAAAAAAAAAAAAACACTTGGGGAAAACCCCCCGGACTTTTCCTTCATAAAAAAGGAGAATTTCAATCGTGTCACTCTCGCTCGCCCAGCTCTACCGAAGGCCTTTCGGGTTTCCCCCAGGGGACGGTCAAGCTTGCACCGCGGCCCGGCCCGGATCACCTTGAGCAGCGCGGCGGCGGCCCGGAAGCTCATGCGGGCCACGGACTCCCTCTTCCTGCGCGGCAGGCGGGCGTAGCCCGAGCGCACGCTGGAGAAGGAGGACAGAGAGGTCACGCCCGGGGTCAGCGGGGGGTGGCCAGGGTGGGGCGTGTGGGGCCGGTCCGTTTCGTCCGGGTACCGGAAGGCACGCCCCCGAGCCAGGGGGTCCACGATCTGGAGGAAACAAGGCAGAAACACAGCGGTTAGGTACTGAAGCAATAAATAGCAAAAAGCAGCATGAATCTACGCATGGGACCGCCTCGAGCCGGGGGTGGGGGGGAATTGAATTACACCTGCGGCTCTAGATCTAGTTATTTCCGAGGGAAACGTGTGAACAGAAGCTGGCCGATCCACAGGACAGGAAGCGGTGTGCCGGGGGGAGATGCCAGGGAGCGATCTTACCTGCTGCATCAGAGACCCGCGTCCCCAGACTGGCGAATAATTAAGCTGTCCCAAGGGAAGCGGCCCGCCGCACAACTAACTCCCAGCCATGCCCCGCCTCCCGCTCCTTTTGCATCTGCATTATTTATGAAGTTTTGTCAATTATTTATCAGAAAAACTGAATCATGTCCCCCTTCTGTTTGCCACGCCTTCGTCACTGCTGGTTATGCCTTTCCTCTCTTTCTCAACATCAACAATAACACGGCCCCCCCAAAAAAAGTCAAAACAGTCATTCTGAAGTCTTTCGTTTCTCTTCAGCCCCCGCAGCCTCTGAACCTCCGGGCCCACGCCAACAGCCTGTGGTTTCCCAGGGAGCCCCCCGACCAGGAGGGCACAGTATTTATTGCCTCGATTCCCTTGCGATACGAATTCAGTGATGCGAACACCCTGTTCAACCCCCCCCCCCACCAGTGTGAAACAGCCCCCCTACGCACAACACAACCATCGCATCCATCTCAGGATACATCAGCCCCTGACCTTTTCAGTGGCTCTGCCGAAAACTTTCACAACTCCCACTGTAAATATCATCTACGATCAAGAAATGCAGAGTCACTCCCTGCCGCCTTTCTTACCAGCCTGTGTCACTATGGCTTCAGAGCCCTGCTACAATAAAAAAGAAGAAGCTGGACCCTGAGCCATGTGCAGTACTGCCTCCAACACCTGGGCAGCACCCATGCAGAGGAGGAGGTGTGCCTTTAGCTCCCACACAGGTGTCTGGAGAGAGAGCTCACCTGTGTCAGGGTCACTGCTGCCATGGGGTCACACCTGCATGCCCCCCCCCCCTCCCCACCGCTCGCTCCAGACGTTTGCGGACTCACCTTGGGCAGCTTGCAAGGGGCCGGGGATTCTAGCCCCTGGAAGGACAGCGCCTCCTGGCTGTGCATCTCGGACTCGCGGTACTGCGCCTTCAGCCGGCCGTAGCGCTGGCTGCAGTGCCGCAGGCTCTTCCGCTGCCACTCCTGCTGCTGGCTCTCGCCGTCGCTCCC